CCCCTCCCGGGGGCCGCCTGGCCAAGCTCGGCCGCCGGCGGGGGTCTGGGGTCCCCCCGTCCCGGACCCCCGCCGGTGGCGGAGCGCGACCCATGCTGTGCCCCTAAACGAGGGGGGAGTCACTCTTGCAGGCCTACTGGCCGTGCAGTGCTTTCCTTGCATCCCGTAGGTGTCTAGTTTCAGGGCAGGGAAGGTTAGAAACGGTGTTTTCTGCTGGCTCTGTGGGTTTATTTCAGCGGGGTGGGGTAGAAATTGTTATTTTCCACTTGCTCTGGATTTTGGTGAAGGTGTCGAGCTTCTGCTAAAAGTTATCTGGCTAAAAGAGACCCTGTTTACTTATTTATTATTTTTTTTTTTGGCTAGAAGTAGTAGAGAAGCAAACTCTTCAGTTGTAACCAGGATTGCTTGAAATATAGCTGGCTCCGGCACGCAGTAGCGTGGCATGCATTTTCAGAGTCCTCAAACCTGGAAGGGGTGCTATCGCTTTTTTTTTCCCCTCTCAGGAAGGTACCTTGAAATCGTGGCTGCTGCTGGGTGGTAGATGAAAGAGCAGCATCTGGCCGACTGCCTTTTCCCACTCGGTCATGGGGAGCGGCTGTCGGTGCCCAAGCACTCAAGTGCCGCTTCCCCTTCCCGCTCTGGCGTGGAGCCAGTGTGTCACTACCTCCGTGTGGGGGACAAAGGCAGGGCCCATGGCATGCCTTGGTGTGTCTGTCAGCATGTGTAGCCCGGGACAGTATCGAGAGTTTGCACGGCTTGTGTTGCAGTTGCTTTCGGTTGCCAAAAGTTAGCTTTTTTGGAACCGAGTAAATGCTGTGCACCTTGTGCACGGTGTGGTCTAGACTGGCCTGGGGTTGCTGGAAGCATGCTGTGTGGTCAGGCTGTTCTCACCTTAGTCTCTCTGTGCCAAGGCTTTGCAGAGAAAACGGCTACTTACTGTGTCTAAAAGACGTATGCAGGTTTGCTATTTTATTCATTAGACTAGACGGCAGCTTTTGCACAGGGTTCCTGGCTTCTGGAAAGCTAACAAGGTTGGCTGTGTACTCAGGGGCTGAAGCTTTCTCTGGAGAAACACTGATATGTGACATTTTTCCTAAATTGTGGTTTGAATCTGCGATCCTCCCCATGACCTTAGCAAGGGGGATTGTGAGGCACTGGAAATTCTTTCACCTAGATGAAGAAAAACCTCGCTTCTCCCATGCGCTGCACACTTCCAGCCTACTAAGCACAGTTTTCCACTCTCTTGCTACCCTTACAAGTTATAGATGAATTGCTAACCTGAGCGGTGGAGGATCTGCTGAGATGACGCCTTGCTCCTTGCCTTTGATTTCTCCAGCGCATGCTTCTGCTGTTTGGTGGTGTTAAGATAAACCTAATCACAGTGTTTATTGTGTATATGCGGTTTAATTGGTGTGGCAGTGATCAAAACCTTGCTGTGACTGTCTTGGCAAAAGGGATTCAGTAGAGCCCATTTCCGTGAATACAGATTTTGAGGTGCTGCTTACCTCTTCTGCCAAACACGTTGTTCTGGCAATAAAAAGGTGTAGTTTCAATCTGATCTCTTGCACCAGCTGTCTCCCACTACAGACCACAGCGTGCAGTGAGGCTTGTTTCAGAAGGCCTGACCTGTTCACACTCTGGTTTTTGGAAACGGAGTGATGTATTTTTGACTTGCTCTCATTCCCTGCGCCCCAGGTGGTCAAAGACATCCCCTTTCAAGTATTAGCAGGCCTTCCTTCTGGAGTATTTAGTACTGAAATCTCTTTGTGGCTCACTGGCTAAACGGCTATGGCCCTTTACTGGTTAGTGTAGCCATAGGGGCTTTGAAGTACGTTTTAGTACGGTCCTTAGAGCGTGATGTGTAACTGAGATTTGGATCCTGTCGATTGATGTTGTAGGTAGCAGGTACGTTGGTCTCTTTGCAGTGGACTGTGGTGACCGTGATACGATTTTCTTTATTCTTTTTTAGGAAAGATTTGTGTTTCATAGAAATTTGCAGGTAAAAGTCACTTGGAAGCCCTCGTGTTTTGAGCGTTTCCATTTCCTTTGCCCCCCTTAGCTCATTGAGATCCATCCATGCCACTTATCGGGAAGGGCATGTGACTAGGTATCACAGGGGCTGAAGGGTTTTGCACGTTGGTGTTGATAAGATAGTCTGAGCACCCTGCGCTGTGGTCAAAGTTGCCCAAGAACAGGGCCCTTAACGTGTAATAGCGGCATTCAGTTTGTGGTGATACTAGGGGTTTTGTCAGAGGCTTGCATAACCCTGCTAGGAAGCTGTGCCAGGTCTTGGTGCTGCCTTTGTTCGCGGATGCCTGTTCCCAGAACAATTGCCATGCTATCGTCTGCTTTCAGACAGCTCCCGCCAAGACTTTATCTTTTAATGCTGTGTGTACCTCTGCATGGCACTGAGCTACTCGCAAAATGTTTCAAATAAATGCCCATTTTGTTCTCCAGAAGGCATGCAGAAAGGACTGCGTGATCCGCATCTGAGAGTGATGCCGAGTGGAGGAACGAACAAATGTGTCCAGATGAGTCCCAGCACACAGGGAACTGAGTGCTGCTTTTATCCTAATTGTTGCGGATGCTGGGAGAGGACGTTTCCTTGCAGAAACTGCACCTTCTAGGAGGCAGCGACCCACAAGGAGATCCATAATCACATAGGGCATCTATCGAGTGAATCCTGTCTCTTACGAGATTTGAGATCTGTGCTACCTGGAGCGTGCCTAGATGTGTGCGGAGGCTTTGCTTTTATAAATTGGTTTGTTGTAGTGAGCAAAGTGAACAATAGGTAACAACGTCTTGTGCGTGTTTTGGGTTAAATGAAATTTGAAATTGTACCTAATTTTGAAAGTCCATTGGGCTCTCGTAAAACTGCACGTTTTTTGAGCCTTGAATCAGCCTTTTTCCATCTTGTTTCGATAGTTTTACATTCCTTCTCTGCAGTGGAAGCTGGGATGCTGCTGATCTTACTCTGAGTTGCGGCCTTGTTTGTTTTTGTGCTGAAGCTATGATTAGCCATTGTCCAGCCACTCCCCTTGAACTCTCAGGGCTGGTGGGATAGTGCATATACATTCATCTTGCATATACTGTATATGGCCAAAAAAAAAAAAAATTGCTGTCCCTCTGGGGAAAAAAAAAAGGTTTCAGTATGGCAGTGGTGGAAATAAATGCAACACAGAAGAAGCTGGTGGTACCAGTGAGCTGTGGTAAGATGAGCACGACCTGAATGTGTTTTTCTTTTCACATAGTTCAACCCATGCATCTAAAGGTTCATGATTCTTGAGTTCTGAGAGATCCTGTGTCTGGTATCTCTTGGTGGGCCCACATCCTTTGGTGGGGGGGGCAGTACACAGTCCAAACCTCGAGCTATAATTAGGAGCTGACTAACAAATATTCTCTGCCTGGTGCTTATGTAAAGATATTTGTCACGCTGGGGGTGGCAGGGAGGGACAGAGGAGCGGATTCATTACTGGGGTGCGAATCAAAACACTGCAGGCACATGCAGCAACTAGCACCCTCCAAGGCTGAGGTGGCATTGCTCAATCCCATTCCCTGGCTCTCCGGTAGGAAGCTGGCTGGCTGAAGGCTGCAAGTCCAGTACTTACCTGCGGCTCGGCCAGTTACGCTGCGTAGTTACGCTGGTCAGATGCGACTGTTGCGGCCAGAGCCTGTACTGGCAACAAGGTGTTAGCTAAGGCATGGCTAATTGAAGTCTTCCTTCTTCTTAGGAGCAGAATAAATAAACGAAGCTGCTGTGTCTTTGCTGGTTTTGTGCAGGTTTTTTTCAGTCGGGAAGCCTTCTGCTGGGAAAAACTTGTTGCATAGGAGCACAGGCCTTAATTACAGTGGCGATACCTGTATTCTGCGTGTTACCCTAATCAGAGTTGACCTAGCTCGTGCAGTTGCTATGAGCAATCTCCCTCGGCCTTGATTTACTATGTGCCGAGTTGTGCGACACGCCACCTGATTCATCGGCTCTGTTGAAGTGAGGAAAGACAAATGGCAAACGCAAATGTTAAGGTTTGGGCACGGGGAGGTGGTCAGGGGGTCCCTGGTTTGGGAAAATGTGTGGACTCAGAAAGCTGAGGATGTGGTTTGATCTTAGCGGTTCCTGCTTGCACAGTGAGCCTAGGACTCATGCTATTGCTTAAAATAAACTTGCCTTTAAAGGCTACTTTTATTCTGTGGCCTGCTTTAAATGCTTTCCTGGGGGAAGGAAGATTCTGCTGATAAAACCTTTTTTTATACTCTTCCCACAGGTAAACTTTAACGGCACTTCCACTTTACAGTGTCAGAAACAGGAGGCACTTGTAACAAAAGTGTGAGGTCCTCCAGTTTATTGCCTTTCTGTTTCTCTTTTTTTTTTTTTAAGCCTTATTTGAGTCCTAAAACTTGCAGCTGAGGAAATGCTGTTCTGGCAAAGCATTAACTGCAGTTAATTTGTCCTCTTTTGTAGTGGAATAAGTGCTATCCCTGGAACAGCTCAGCTAGCTAATGGCTTTTAGAAGTAAAGTACTAAGGATGTACTCCTAATCTGTGGAGCTAAAAATTCAATATGTAAACTGCTTGGGTTGCTGAGTGCATTAATATTGGTACAAATGAACACTGCAAGTCCTAATGATAGCAATTAGTATTTTATCCGATACCTGTGTCTATCTTAATGCTCTGAGAATTAAAAACAAATCCTCCAGTGGAGATTTTTCCCCCATGCTTTTTAGTGTGCTCATAAGTCGGGCTTTTAAACTGCTTCTAAAATAATCCTGTGTCTTGTGAAGCTTTTGTGGGGGGAAGGTTCTCTTAAGGAAATAAAATCGGCTTATCTACTCTGCTATAATGGGAAGGGAAACTTTTTTTTGATGTCTTCACAAATAAGCAGGTTATTGTCTTACATGAAATTCTGTCCTGTAGATAGGCTTAAAATCAGGCCAGCTTGTTGTCTTTGGCCCAGCTGAGAGAGCGGTAATGGCAGGGGCGAATGGATGCTATAATCCCATAAAGCTGTAAGTGCATCCCTTCTTATTGCATGTGACGAACATTTCTTTTGGCTGAAGTTGATTGGAAAAAAAAAAACCCTGGTTTTTACTCAGTTATGAGCAGCTCCTTCAGGGCTGCAGGGGAGGGGATTCAAATGGCTTGGCTGAATGTAGGCAATATATTTATTACCCCTGCCTCCTCCCTGTAAAATAAGGAAGCGGTGTAGGGCTGCAGCAGCAAGTCTGCAATCACGTGTTGTTGCATGTAATAAAAACAGAGTACATTCGAATGCAACCTTCTAAATACCCTCTAGTTTCTCTAGGATTAAGTTAGTAATTCGGAAAGTAGAGGTCTCTCATATCTTGCTGGATACTTTGGGGCAAAGAGGTGCTTTAAAAACACTGAGTGCGTAGTTAGCCAGAGAGCTGAGAAATTGTATTTCATTGCTAACTCATCTTCCATGCCAATTTTCAGGTTTTTTAATCCCTCTTTTTAGTATCCTCCTAAATTAATCAATATAATCCTTCAAACTCTTGTAAGTATGGAATGACTGAAGAAGGAGAAAGTGAGAAATACAGAGAGAACTTTACCCTGTCAAACTGTATTCTTTGTGGAGTGATCCCAGGTTGTTTTTTAAAGCAAGAAAGGGAAAGAAATTCTTCAATAGCTTAGAATTAACATCATGAAAATCTTCTCTTATTTGTTCAAAACTTGGACATACCATGGAGTTACTATATATCACTGCTGGCGTGCACGCTTCTAGCTTGGGGTAAACTTAAGGTAAAATATTTTTTCTTGCATCTCAGCAATAGAAAAGTGAGTCGAGGCAGAGGCATAGTGCCTTGTATATGCGGTAGGCTAAGAGCAGAAAGGCAGATGTTGCTCATTCATCCGTGATATCTTTGTTATGCACCTGAACCTTTTTTGCTGGTAATCTGGCTGAGAAAATACCTTTGTATGTACGCTGGGGTTACTGTGGCATCATGCATTGCAGGCGTGCCATCTGCACTTCTCTTGGGATCACCTGAAGTTCAGAGTTGAGCAGCCTGAATTTACAAACCAGCGTACCGGTTTGATGGGCTCTCAGAAAAGAGAGGACAGAAGGGCTTTTCCAAGGGTTTGCTTATCCATGTGATAGGATGCAAGATTTGCCACTGGTATTCATTGTGCCTAAAAAACCTGATGTTTTTCCTCCCATCCCAGTGGAGAGCCGATGTGCTGCAGAACGCATTGGTTTCAGTGGGGAGTGTGTGACGACAACAGAATGTGCAGTTGGCTAGGGTCTTCTGTCCACAGCGTTTTCCAAGAGCGAGATCAATCTCTTGCCAGATTCATTTATTTTAACTTGGCCATTGACTTAAGTGACTGCTGTCTAGAAGGTCATGTTCCGTTTTGATTTTGGGCTTATAGCTTCCAGTATCCTCCATCTTCAGGAAAAAAAGCACAATCCATTTTATATTTGATGCTGCAGCATTTTCTTGCCATCAGTTGAGAACAGCTATTGAGACACCAGCACATTAGTGGCTCCGTTTCCATCCTTTAAGTGCAGTTCCAAAACTGGATGATATCCCGGCATTAACTCTTAGGCAATGAACCAAAGTCACTGTTGTTGGTTAAACATGCCTTTCCAGGGATTTTTCAGAGAAGATTGTGCAAACTCGATGAAACTTAAGTACCGCCTCTGGTTAGTTGGAAAAGGTAGCTCTTCCCTTAAATTCTAGGGTTAAATCAGCTTTGTGGTGACTGGATTGGAGGACTGGGCATTAGCTAGGACATTGCCTATTGCAGTGGTTTATGTGGCTGTCTTGTTTTCAAGGCTGAAGTAGCTGGTGTATTTTTAAATTTCCCTTTGCCAAGTGGATGAGTGCTAATTTGTCTTCTCACAGCTGAGTGCTGCTCCTTATGAAGAGACCTGGTTTTGCCCAATTCAGTCCATGTCCTTCAGCCTGTGCTGGGACGTGGTTGATACTAGTCCTCCGTCTGGGTTGACACTCTTGTTTTGCTGGAATTTGTCAGCTTTATGTTTGGGTTGCTTAAATATTTTTAAACTCTCTTGCATTATATGCATTTTACTGCTTTTCCAAAGTAGTGAATATTCATTAGTGGCTTTTTTGTAAGCAATCTTGCCTTTTTCCATTGATTATTTGGAAGAACTTGGCTTTTTTTAGGCTGTTTGTAGCCTCTCCAGTTGTATTGAAATGACGTTACCCCTAAATGTGACCTAAAAAAAAAATATATTAAATGCTGCTTCTGTTGTTGACTTGACCCAGAAGTGAGATCTGTAAAGGGTGCTGAGAAGGGAAGTTTTAGCAGCTTTTAATCGAGTGGTTTATTTATATCCATCTTTGCAAGCCGCTCTAAACTCACCAAGAGTACGACAGCATAGGTATCAAGGATGTATTCCTTCCAAGGTTTATTAACAAATCTTTTGAAAGGCCCCATGTACTTTCTCTGTTGTTTGGAGAGTGAAGCTTTGTAGTGCTGAAGATCCCCCCCAGAAAACTCTCCAGCAAAACTGGGAAAAATTAGGCTTGACAGTAGGTTAAAAGGGGAGAAGGGTTGGGAAGATTGCTCTGGGGGTGGCTGAAGAAGCTTTAAAAAAAGTAAAGTAAAATGCACAAACTTTTGTCTGTAACATGCAAAACCCCCCCCCCCCGACACTTGTTTTTGGTCATAGCTCCAAACAAGGTGTGGTTACCTGGGTGGTTCTTATCCCTAGAAACCTTTTTCCAGAGAATTGTACTGAAGACCCCTGTTTTGGGGGAAAATGGCCTTTTTCCCTTGTGTACATCCATTTTCCCCCACCCTGTTCTTCTGAGACTCTTGAAGAGAGTGTGCTTTGAAGATATTGATTAGGTACTTGGGCAGTAATTGCTAGTTTGACATTGTAATTGTTATTGCATCACAGTTTTCTGGGGTTTTTTTTGGCAGCAGCAGTGTTTGTCTCTTCCGTCCTTCCTTTGTATGGAAAGTACTAATTAGATCTTAAACTTAAGGAGTTGCTGAGTACTTACATCTTCTTTAAAAATCCAGCCCTGGGTACTTAATAGACCATCAGGTGGTACCTGATGAATGGTGGCTTCTCTGATGGGTATATTGTAGTAGTTCAGTCTTCACTCATCACCTAATAATTCCTTGGAAAAAATATTGAGATTAACACAACTGCTTCTGTCGGGCCATGGTAAGATCTGGTGATGAGTCTTGGGACTGTGAAGCTTGCACATCTTACTTGTCTGCCCTTGGCCCTTCTCTCTGAATATTTGAAATCTCTCAAGGTGTGTATTTTTATCGGTGGCTCTTGGCTAGAAATGAATGACAACTATTGCCTACCTGTTCTGTTTACAGGAATTAAGGAAAGCATGGGGTCTGCATACTGAAAAGCACCTTTTTAATAGATAATAGACTCATAGACTTTTTGATGCCCTCTTAGTGTGCATTTGAACTTCTCTCAATATCAGTCTCATTTTCTTTTGTGCAGGATGCCATTATTCCCTACAAGGAAATCCTCCAGATGTACTGGGAGAAAGCAACGAGCTTTGTGAATGCACAGTGCAATGGACTTGAACCTTGGCAACTGATTGGGTTGACATTTTCTTCTACGCTTATAAGTGTATGGCTGCATGGCTTCCTTTTCCAGTCGGAGAGTAAGTATTTGAAATGGGGGATTTTCTTATGTTTGGGGGCAAGGGAAGGCGGGCAGAGTTGTTCCTAAGTAGTGGAGGGAAAGAGGATGAAACAAGGCCAAACACTTGTTAAAACAGACCTTCTGCTGTCAACTAGTATTAACAAAACCCTCTTCCAAATTAAGGTCAAGGCCTGTCTGATCAATGAAACACCTCCATTCCTTCAGAGGGTGCGGTAGGCCAGCCTGAAATGCACCTGCATCTCCTTCCCTTCCTCTCGTCTCCTTTTTGCTTTTGGCTAAACCATTTACTTGTCGCAACACTCTCTTCTTGCTCAAAACCTGGGGCAATTTCTCTGAGAGCTGGGTTCTTGTGAACTTAGTCACTGGTGAAAAGTGTCTGCATAACTCTTGCTCTTGATTGTTTCCCTTCCTGCTGGGGGAGGAGGTGTGGTTTTGATTTGGTGTTGGAGGCATGTTTCATCCTCAGGATGTTCAAGATAATTGCATGTGGTATTGTTGTGTGGATTTAAACACACACACACACACACACCCCCCCCAGCATCTTCCTGTTTTGAGCAGTTTCTGATACTGACAGCTCTTCAGTGAGATCTCTTTTGATGAACCTGCCATTTCCTCTGGCTGTGTGATGGTCAGAGATAACTACCTTGCCCTCAGAGGAGAACATGGTGCTTTGCAGTTCCCACAGGCCTTAGGGTTACACTCCAGTGGCAGTTTGTTAAAAATAGTTGAGTTTTTAACTTGATGTTTACTTCACTGCCTGTCTCTTCCTCAACCAGTCTTTTCTTTTTAAAGACGGGAGTAGCTGAATAGTGGAAACGTCTATGGAAGGAACAAAATGGTATGAAGCTTTTGCTCAATACAGGGTTATATTAGCGTCTTGGCTACTATTTGTACTATTGCATGGTATTTTTTTTTAAGTATTGACTAACTGTTATAAGATCTGATTAGATTGTCTGAATTTTTCAGGTGTTAGCAGTCTTGTCTCACTGTGGAAGTTATTAATTAAACAATGTGCACGCTGAAATGTGCAATAGAAATGTTATTGTCAGAGTGCTAATGAGTATTTGCTACAGAATGTGCCAAACTGCAATTACTGTCCTTCTGTAGCTCTTCAAAATGTACATGAAGTGGCGGGGGAAAATGTAGATAAAATTGCAAAGTCCTAAAATGGTTGATTTTTAAAGTTTGTTTAGTTATTTCTTAGTGTAAGTGTCCTGCTGGTACTCAACTGAAATGCCTGTAGGACTCAAAAGGCATTTTTGGTGGCTACAAAGCATCTGTGTCATCCTGCTTTCATTCCTGCCGTTAGAGCTACCACGGGAGTTTTCTGGTGTTTGTCATCAGTGGCTTCTCTCACTTCAGTATTTGGAATGTGGTGGAATTTCTGCTCTTCCCTCTGTCCATCCCCTTTCCCTGAATCACCTCCTGTTGCATTATGCGTTTCCTATATCGGATGGCCAGGCACCAGGTGAATCCTTGTCATGTTACTGACATGGCTGAACTACTCTTTCCTCCTTTGGTCTGGGAGCCTGTTTCATGTTGCTGAGTGTTTTCATGTTACAGTACTATTCTGGTTTGAAGATGTAGAAAATAGTTTCAAGAAGTATTTTCCCTTTTTGCTGGAGACCTTGCCTTTAGCAAATCCTAGAGTCCCTCTCTTCTCTGTAAAATTCTACATGTGGGTGCAAATTCCCATATAAGTAAGAAAACAAATCAAATTACTGATTCCCATAGATGGCTACTGTTCTGCAAGCCAGATGTTTCTGTAGGCTGGTCCATTTCTGAACCTTGCTCTTTGATATGCTAATCTGTCTCACCATGTGCCCTTGGTCACTGTGTTATTTTAGCCTGGATCAGAAATACTGAGCCTGTGTCATGGGCTGTATCGGAAGTATTGTGCTCTGAGTCCATTTTTTTGTTTCTTGAGTCATTTTAGGTTAATTTCTGACTTTTGTCTTTCAGGTTTAACATCCCGAACTAAAAAACAGTTTTTTAAACTACTGAGAAAAATGCCGTTTATCGGGGCTATAGTAAGTATTGGAACAACTTTTCTTAATATTATCCCAGGTCCTTGTTTCAGCCTGCATAGTGCTGAGACCTTACAGTTCTGTGCATCTTTGCTGTCATGTTGCTGTGATCATAATGATTCAAGGATATAGGTCTGGAAGGCCTTCTGCTGCCACCTGGTTTAATGAAAGTTACAATTTCTACCTGGTCTTTTTGTCATAGTATCACTCAAAAAATGGGGGTACCACCTTTTTTTTTTAACCAAGAATCAGTAAGTGCAGTTACAGAATTTTCCAGTAGTTACAGAATTTTCCAGTAACATTTCCTCGTTGTTAGATTTTAAGAAAATTTTATTTGTGGAAGAAGGGGACAGGATTGAACTTGAGTTGTTCTTCTGAAACAATGTCTTATTCTTGAGCAAGTGTGAGATAACCAGGTGTTTGTTGTGCAACACAGAAAGATAATTTTTTTTAATCAGATGACTGGCCATGATTAGTTTAGAGCTCAGATACCTATTAACAATAGTTAGCATTATAGCACAAAGATAGCAGGTTTGTGTAATCATTAAAATGAAACAAGCTTTAGTGTTTGGGAGATTTTTTTTTTTTGCATAAAAACTTGAAACTACAAATGTCAGCATGTTTTAGCACATTAACGACTTAATGATTGAGAAATGCACAGCTTGGAATATTTTACCTAGTAAATGATGGTATCACACTTGATGATTGTCCTTCTTTCTGCTTGATGAGTTGGCAGATGTACACATTGATTTGGAGGATCAGGTCTGTTATAGGCAATTTTATCAAATGAAAGTAGCAAAGAGGAACTTTTTCCTTTTGCTGTGGATGTGGAAGCTGTTCTCAAGTTTCTCCCCCAGCCCTCTGGAAGGGACTAGCGTCCCCCCTTTATGTCACGTTAAGTGCCCCAACTTTTACCTTCTGACTTGAGTAGCCTTTGGTGAGATGAATTAATGACTTGTTCTCTTCTGCTTATATTTGCTGTCTGCCTGTTAGAAAAGGACACCTTCCAGGCCCCTTGTATACAATCCCTATTTTGTCCAGACTTACCTTCTCAGGGCTAGCACTGTTAAGCTCTCCTGTGCCAGAGGACTCCTGGTGTGTCCTGTCTGTGTACTGTTTCCGCTCTTAGGTTATCAGGTATCAGCCTACCAATCAGTTGCTTACAGGAGGCCTTGACTTTGAGGCATTCCAATGTCCAAAAGTCTTTAAAGCTGATGATATCCCAACACCTGTGTTGCCTGGAAGAAGAGTCTCTGCTTTGGAATGTGTTGTGAGAAGTCTGGGCCTCCTGAATGTAAAGTGTGGGTGGGAGGAAGGGAATCTCCTAACTGTGCCTGTAGTGGAGATTTCTTTATTGTTTTTCTCTATTTCCATGAGTTTGTAAACCTTGTGTATGATGGCAGAGGAGACAAGGTACAAAATAGAATGCATCTGAAGACTTCTACAAATTAAAAACTGTGACTTAAAAAGGTTTGGTGGATAAAAATGCAGTATTTTTGCCTTGAGCTTTGTTTTCTCAAGCATTAAGGAAGGGGCTCAAAGCTCCCACTGCTCATCGATACCCAGTAAAGAACGTACTCTGTCTGAACGTTGTGGTGGTAGTGTCTGTGTTGTTAAATGAAATGCAGCCAGGCAGTGGCCCAAGTGCCACTCTGCAATCGCCCATAGTGGTTACTTGGCACAAATCTGGGCTGTGCCAGCTAGCATTCCTACAGGGAATTCCCAGTGTGGCTTAGAGACTAGTGCATGCCAGTTCACCATTCCAGGCAGCTTGTGTTTGGAGGGAGAGGTTGGTAGGAAGGAAGAGTTGAACTGTGTGGCTGTCAACTCTGCTATGCTTTTTGGTTGTAGAGCTGAAACAGTTCCTATCTATTCTGCTCAATAGTATGGATGTAGCTAGTGAGTTCAATCTTGCATGCACTCAACAATTATTTATAATATAGCCAGCGCCATTGTTGATAGGGTTTTCCTTTCTTTTTAGATTCAAAAGAAGATTGATGAAGCCTTGAATGATGTCACTTCCAGTTTATCCTTCCTGAAAGATGAAAAGGATTATATCAAAGCACTGCCAGAAAAAGGCATGAGCCAGCCTGAAGTACTAGAAAAGATGAAAGAGTACAGCTCAAAAGGTATGAATGTGAGTCCATACTGCAGCAGAGGTGGGTCCGTTTCATAGACCTAACATTAAGACTTACTCTCTTAAATGAGATCTAATGACTCCTGCTCATGGTTTCATCTCAAATATTTCTTCCCTGATGTTCTTTTCTTGCAAATTTTTGTCTGTTTTCCTTCTGGAAGTGACTAAGATCAGTATTCATGACTTCTAATACTGTGTTTGGGTATTTACAGTGAAATTCCGTTCCTTCTCAAAGAGTTCTAGACTGATGATGGGAGAGCTGAGGAGAAGAGAAATACGGAGGAAATTATTTGAATGCATTTTTGATTACATTTCTGAGCAGTTGCCTTGATGTTTGACTTTTACCAGAAATGTGTTTTCTGTGAAACCCCAGGGAATACTCATAATAAAAAAAAAAAAGCTTCCAAGCAGGATTTTAAGGGAATTTCCAAGACGCTCTCTCTTAGTCAAAGTCATAATGGTTTGCACCTTGAAAATGCCACTTAAGGAAGGCAAAGTCATGATGTTGTTCTCCTGGCTTGAGTCCACGTAAGCAGTGTGAGACTTAATTTGAGTTGCCTCACTCATGTAAATACCTCCACCCTGATTCATGTACTTATTACTTGAAATAAGCAAATTTGAGGGACTTGCTGTCCAGAGGAGAAGATATGACTGTCTGCTCCTATACCAAATTTGAGAAATGCCTTGAATTTTCTGCTAGAACAGTACATCTACTCCAAATTCAGAAACAAACAGTTTTGCAGTCAGGTATCCTAGAACAACTTCCTTCTTTTCTACTTTTATGTATTGCTTATGTAGCTTCTGTCTGTGTTTTCCCTCAAATGATTATTTCCGTCCTTCACCAGGGGGTTCTTTCCTTTTTTCTTTTCCTATGGCCCCCTCCTTCCCACACACATGCACTCCCCTTTGAAAGTTGCTTGGAAATGAGGGTTGGATTGTGACTATGTTCTCGTTATATATGCTTGTGAAGCTGAGGCCACTGAGTTTTATGAAGGAGGCTAACAATTAGGAGAGGGAGCAAATAACCAAACAAGTGGAAATACACTGCTGGGGTGTTTGGAGGCAGAAAGTTACTTGGTTAGGTACAATCATGTTGGGTAGTGGGTTGAAACACTTTTCAACAGCGTGTGCTGCTGATGCTGTTCCATCCACCTGCTCTCATTTGCTAAAGCTTCAGCGGCATACTGTTTTACATGGAATTTAATTGAGGCACCTGGCACTGTAGGTTTTAGCAATACAAGCTTGGCCTTTCCATCTCTTCTCGGCTTATAGTGGTGATGGGTGTGAAAGTGGCTTTAACTTTAGCCACTTTAGCGTTCAGTTGGTTGGACAGCAGTTTGGGGAGACTGAGTGGGGATTAAGTGGATTACATATTAATATAACTGCTTGCTGCAGCTAGATGTTGTTTATGTGCTGACTCTTTTTAGTCATCATTGACTTGCAGTTTGCTAAGGTCGTGGGATACACGATGCCAGAGGCTTAGCGTTGCACACAGCTATCTCCGTGGCACAAAAATCATATTTGTTCCTCATCAGTGAAATCTCAAAAGCTGAATCCTCATCTGCAGAACTGGTGGGAGGACTTCTCTGCTTTCTGAGAATGGCTGTGTTTGTAAGCAGTGTGCTCTTCCTTCTCTTTCAGGAGATGTACGTTGGCAGGATGGGAAAGTCTCTGGGACTGTGTATAGTGGTGAAGAGAAACTCACCCATCTGCTAGTGAAGGTAAAGTGCAAGCAGTCTAACTTTGCATCTTTGCAGATATCCTTAGCATCTTCAGGGTGACCAGAAACCCCTCAACACTGTTGCAGCATCTTTCAAAATAAATAGGGAAGATCCGAAACTAAGACTGCCCAACTATGAAGACAGAGCCTAGGGTAAATGTAGGTGGAAGGGGAATTATTAGTAAAGCATTTGGGCAGTGTAAAGCTGGCCAAGTGACCGTCCCTGCGAAAACACAGTGTAGAGATAACTAGGATCCAATCAGATGAGATGTTGTTTTGAGTAAGAGAGAAAGAAGCTGGTTACAAGTGAACTGGAAACTGGTACTGACCTTCTAATTCAGGGAATGGTAGAAGGCATAAAATTGCCATAGACCAGCTTCAGCAAGCCTCCTGACAGATATGCCTTTGCTGCAGGCTGAAGTGAAAGTATCCTTGGCTGTCCTGTTACTGGGAAGCTGTGGGACTTTGGACTGGAACAGCTTCACTGAGCAAAACTGAGTTCCTCTTGGTTTAAGCAAAAAAGACGTTTGTAAACTGGTTTTGGTGGTCCAAATCTTGCAATGATGTAGCATTGGCATGCTTCAGTGGCGTCTTTGTTAGGTCTGTTTATCTACTCAGGAACTTTTCCCTTTGAGAAGGTTGGAAAATAACCTAAACAGCCCAAAGGTCTGTTTTCAAATATATCTACTTCAAGAGGGTTTTTGCTAGAAAGGGAAGTCTAGCCTTCTTGCTCCTGGGAACAGCTTTTATAACAGCTGTAATGAGCTCTATTTGGTGGTTGCTATTGGTGTTTTCTTCTGCTCATTGACATTTTCTGTGCCACTTCTGGGAAAACAAAGCTCCAAGCAGCCTTTCTAGAGGGGCCTCAGCTTGGATTGAGTGTTGTGGAAACATTCCCTCTGTTTGTGCTGATTACTTGCTGGTTTTTCTGCTGTATTTCTTTTAACATCCTTGCAGTTGCTTTTTGATCTCAGCTGCAGGAGGTCGGAACTGGCCTGTTCCAGCCTTATCCTGTGAGCCCACAGTTGCAGAAGGAGCATGAAATACTGGTTTCCATGGCCACTTTTGTTGCAGTGTGGGTAGACAGTTGTGCTTTTCTAGCTGCTTCAGAATTCCCCTTTAATAGTAAACTTGAAAACTAGTTCTGCAAAGTAAGAAAGTAAGTTTTTTGGCCTGCTTTGTGTAAAGCAATCATAGGGTGCGTATTGTGTTCTTTTTAAAAAAATAGCTAAATGATTCAACCTGTCTTTACAAAAAGAAATATTGTGATGTTATAGAATCACTCCGGAGGCCAGAATGCCCTAGAAGAACAAGCGAGGTTTTTTTCCCCCTCAGCCGTAGCTTCCCAGCTTGTGATATTTACTTGCAGCAGGAGTTAAGTCCAAGGAGATCTGCAGTATTGTCTATGGCTAAATATAGCTGATTTGCTTATACAGTGTGTATGGTGAGTTCCCAAATCTGCACTGATAATTCAGTGCTTCATCTGCAAGGCTAACTTTCTGTCTTTGTTTTCTGAAGGTGTATGAAGAGTTTGCCTGGAGTAATCCTCTCCATCCAGATATATTCCCTGGTTTGAGGAAGATGGAAGCAGAAGTAGTGAGGATTGCCTGTACGCTCTTCAACGGGGGCCCCAACTCTTGTGGTGCTGTAAGTAGCCTGTCTTCAAGTGTCTCATGAATGTTTTGGATATTCCTGACTTTGATTTAAGTGTAAATGCACCTTCTGCTATCCGGCTGAGGTCAAGCTCATTCTGGCATATGCCATGCCAACGTAAGCTGTACGGAAGACGGTTGCTAATTGCTCTTCTTGGTGAAGCTTTATGAGAGACAGTTTAACTAGACAAGACCATTTACTTCACCTTTTTTCCACACTCTTAAATGATACAGGCTTGATGGCAGTTGGAAAAGAGAACCAGTGTAATGTAGCCTGGCTGGTTGTCAGTGGGGGATGGTGAACAGAGCAGTGTCACTTTGAGTAGCTCCCCTCAGTTTTAATCTCTGAACTGAAATCTGTGAGCCTGCCAGAATGCTAAGATTGAGGACAAAGCCGGCTGGCTGGCTGGTCACCAACAAGCAGCTTGAAATATTGGTGATCAAGCAGGCATGGCACGTATTGTCATCTGTCCAGCTGGAAAGCTGTCTTTCCAGGCTTATGTGGCCTTCCAGTGTGCTAGGGTGGAAACCAATTTTAAAGCCTTGATAGAGTTCCTAGCAAGAATCCAGGTGTGTGTCCTTAAATTGATGATGATTTCAAAGTTGGTCAAAGAGCAAAAGTTGTGAACTTGCACCGTGAATTATTGTTATAAAAATGAGCCGTGCTTTTTTACGCTCCTTTCTCTTGCTTTACCTTTTTGGTAAGGATCCTGAATTCCTTAAGCAAAATTCTCTCCCTGCTTACATGGTGCATGGGGCAGTGGGGTCTTATCTCCTAGCATGGTGGTCAGGTGCAGCTGTGATACAAACAGACTGCTTAATGGCTTGCGAGAAAGTAGTTCCATTTGTGAGAAGGATCCAGATGAGATTTTTCAGAGGCTGGGCATGAGGTGATTGCTGTCTGTAAATATGCTAGGTAGGGAGAAGGCCAGCAATTGTTGAAGATCAATATGGGAAGGCAGTGTTGAGACGAGGTTATGAAGTGAACTGGCCTTGAATGGGCTTAATCTGACAGTTGGAGGCTTGGTTGTGTTAAGGAGGTAAGTACTGGAGTAGCCTTATAGTAGGTGTGGTTGGGACCAAACTCCAACTGGATTGAAGATGAAACTTGACTGTGCAGTGTCTGGGAGTATAAGACGTGATTGCTTTTGATAGCAGGAGGTTTCACCCTGTGACCTGACTTGTCTTCTCGGGACTGTACTCCTTGTGCCACCTTCAAGTTTAGAGAAGGAACATGTCTCTTTGCTTATAAAAAGCATTTAACCTCACCTCATCTCCTTCCTGGTTTGTAGTGCTGAGAACACTGGTGAGATTATCCCTGGAGTGGGGAAGAGGCTGGGTCTAAAGCTGTTGAAACTCATCTTTATCAACAGTTGAGATATCAATTGATACGACAGTCAGATAGCTCTGTGACACTTATCGTATGCTTGGAGAACTTTGCTTGCTGAAGCCTGCAACGCGCGTTCAGTTTTTGTTACGTGAAGCATGTATTGTAAAAGTGTCAACCTTGGCCCCGTGTGCTCTTTCACTGAAATTTAAAAGTAGAATTGCCTAAGAGGAGAGGTTCAGAACGGGTAAAAAACTGCTCCAAAACAATCAGTGATCATGGCCAATGTGAGACCTCCACAGATGCTCTCTGGGGAATCCTGCTTTTTCCTCTGCTCTGTTCTTCTTCCCCTCCGTTCCGAGGATTGTGCTGCAAAGCTCCAGCTGAGATTCAAGCAGAAGCAAAGCAAACGGGGAAGCGTGCAACCTGCCGTGGAGTTACATTCTAGCTGGTTGAACAGTCAAATTTACAGGGTGAGAGGGAGGGTTGAAAAGTTGATTGGCCGGAAACATAAGATTAATTGCATCCCTGTAATTATCTTGTCCAAATGAGTCTCTCCAGTGGACTTTTTGTCTTCCTCCCACGTTGCCCTTCCTAACTGTGAAGTGTCCAGAGTTGCTAATCATTGATGGAGACATGTGGGTGGATATATGGAGGTCACATGCTCTTTAAGCAGTTGGGCTCAAAGACTTATTTTCTTCTCCCCAAAACAGAATTAACATTTCAAAATTATTTCTGGAGGCTTGGACAGTTACAAAGTAATTTTAAAAGAGCATTTTTACAAACTGATGCTATGCTTTCTGTCTCTGGAAGGCCCTGCTGTAGCTGATCGCTCAGACTGACGCAGTTACGCTTCAGTAATTGGTGAGGCTGTAAAACAGAGAGGGTGCAATGCTGTGAGTTATCTTTATCTTTAAATTGATCTGTTCAGGAGGTGCTGCTGGCTTTTTCTACTGAGAAGGCTTCCGGTTTACCCGATTCAACTTTTGCAGTGTTGTAACTAAAACAATTTTTTTTTCCTGAATTTCATCACTGCCATCTCCAAGAAGCAATGTGTCTTATTGCCAGGTCCCTGTCTGCTGGATTTGCTGACCTGATTTAAGCAGCTGGGACTGCTTCTCCAATTTTGTTGGTGCCTGGTGATGGTCCCTGAAGGCAGATGGAGCTTGTTGGTGTTTCTGGAGAGTGTATCTGTGGCTATGCTCTGTGGAAAACATCAAAAGTTTCTGTCTGTACTTCTCAGTGAGGCAATTTCACTTCCTTTGTGCCCTGATTTCTGTGACACATTGCAGAACAGCGCTTTTTGGGGCTAATTGCTGCTCAGTCTGGGAAAGCAGCACAGTGATGCATTTGTGCTGTTCCCAGGGCTTTCAGCAGCTTGGGGATCCCTGCGCGGTCCTGCCCTGTGTCATGTGGACATCTTTCTAAGCAGGATCTCTGGAGAGCAGTCCTCTGATTCCTCTTCGAATGTTTTTGGTGTGCTTAATAAATGCTAAAATGAAACATGTCTCTTTAGATTTCTGAATGTTAAATCAGATGAGCAGCAGCTCCCATTATTTATAGAAGTTGCCTTTATTTGAGACACGGGGGCTATAATTCTCCTTAGTTTAAACATAGGCATAAAAACACTAACAATGCCCTTGTGGTGGGGGGTGTGCGGGCATGCCTTTTGCCTTAAATTGCACTGAGAGATGTTCCATGTTTTTAAGCAGTTTTTAAAAGTAATCATTTTCAGCAGCGGATGGATGCTTCCTATTTCTCACTAATTACTACTGTTGTTCTTACTTTTAATCGCGTTACACAAGAGCAAAGAGACAGGAATTGGTGATTTTTGGCTCCCAGGAGATTCTAATCACTTTCTTGCAATGATTTGGAAGGACTAATTAAGCTCAGCACATACAGGAGAAGTGGGGGGAGATTGTTCTTGTCCGATGCGTGCATGTGTTCCTGTTCATAAGGTGCTTTGTTTTGCAGTGCTGGTTCTGTGGATTTCCCCTCTAATTTGGGGAGAAATCGCCACTTTTATGCAAGCTTCAATGATGTTTTTTTTTTTTAGTAGTTGTTTGAACTTTAAAAAGAAAGGGCAGCTTTTGAAGTGCAGGGGAAAATTGCGCGGGGGGTGTGCGTGTGTATTTTATGTCAATCTGTGAATTCTTCTCTGCACTTTCTGCAGGAGAGAGGACAGGAGAGAGGAAGCAAAATCAGTAGATGCAAACCTAAGCCTCCTGTAGAAACCATCTTGTCTCTTCTCCCAAATTCTGGGGCTTCCAAACTTTGTTGTAGTGCTGGCTGCACATTTGAAGTAGGACTTTTAACAGTGAAATGTGAGTGATGTGTCTTGGGGGGTCTTAAACTCTGCAGATCTGTCAGGCTTTATCTGTAGTGATGAGCAGGTCACCTTGAGAGAGACAACTAGTGGAATTTACAACCTGCAGGTTTACAGGGGTTTTATGCGAGTCTGCCACTACGTTATGACCATGCAGTGGATTGTGGTATATTTTTACTCTAATGCTACCTTAGAAATAAATTGTAGTTTGCATTCTTATTCACGGGGTAGTTCAGCTCAGTGAAACTTTTGGTCAACTTTGTCTCCAGGGTCTGAATGGATGTGTTTCCTAAGGTGAAAATGCAAGCAAAACTTTAGAGACCACAAACCAAAGTGGTTCTTTCATGTCTGACCATTTGGCAGTGACATGCAAGTGGCATGGCCAAAGAAATCCTAGAATAGGGACCGTACCTCTTACTGCTGTTTTAATGATTTGGAGGGAGGGAGCAATGGAAGGGATATATCGAGTTTAGAAAGCGGGAGGGATATTTTTTTCCCTGTGCTTTCTCCTCTCCCCTCCCATTTGGAAAATAATAAATAAATCAAGAACAAAAAAGTCGGTTTGCTTGCCTTTTTCCACACACTTTGTCTGGCTTTTGAAGATAGCGCAGGGTTGGAAGGCTGCTTAAAACAATGCCTGTTTCCAGTCCCTTTTTCCCATGGCATTGCTTGAGCCTGTGGACTTTATTTAGAGGAGAGAAAAAAAATATTTGTATGAGCCATTGGTGGGTGCTGAATCACTGCGTGTTGGCCAGCTGCCGACATGCTGCAGGCAGTGGGGAAGTTGTATCCTGTGACAGTGATTCAAGCCCTGGCTATAGCAGAACGAGTTTGCTGTTGATAGCTAAGCTGACAAAGCCTCCTGCAAAGGAGCAGACTCCCTCTGCAGGTATAAACTGCGTGGACCAAGAGGGTTTTTGCTGTTGTAGCTGCGCCAAGCTAAAGGTGCTGCTGTAGATCAAGCTGCTCTGGCACATCTCCGTGGCATACACTCATGTTGGTACTGATGTGCCGACTGTGGGCCAATTTAGGAAGCTGATCTGGCTGAAATCCAGCTTTTTGGGTGGATTTTCAGCTGCCTGAACAAGAGTTCTGTGTGGTCATCTGCATTCCAATCTTGGTGCCCGAGAGGAGGATCCGTCCTGGATGCTGTTCCTTAACCTGCATCTGACCAACTGCCGAAAAGCGTTGACACTGACCTCCCTAAAACTGTGTGTGGCTCAGCATATGCATGCAGGTGATAAGCCAAACTTTGAAGGAAGGTTTGTCATATGTAAGGGCAAGATGTTGGTGCTTTGGTGGAAAGATCGAAATGGGAATAAGACTGTGCAGAGGCTGCTCTTTGAGGAGCAGGTTATTTAGATGAGAGTTGAGGTAGGGACTGCTTGCTCAACAAGGAGCAGGCCTGGTGGCACGAACTGTCTGGTGTTCAGTAACGTGAATCCCAAGATCCCCAAATCATGCCTAGCAAAGTTTTCACAATCCATTGCAATATTGTAAGCAATATTGCAAGCAATGTTACAAGTATGCAATAATCCCATTCCTCTTCTCCCACCTGGCAGTAGGAAGGCAATCCATGTTACACCAGCTGTTTTTTTTTCCCCAACGTAATAGCTGACAACTTCCCAGATCTTTTCATAAGAAGGGTTGAGAAGCGAATGACACAGCCCATAAAATGCTTAGGACATTGTGTTCCTGCTACCATCTATTTGCTTCACAATAAATGCAACGATTTCTTTAACCAGTGTGAGGCTCTGTTAGGGTTTATCTGTGACAGCTGTTGCTTTACAAACTACCAAAAAAGCAGAAATCGTCTGTGATGTGACAGTCACTTCCACGCTGCCTGTGGCAGCAGCTGCTGCTAGCGTGGATCATGTTAGGAACAAATGTGGCAGGCTGTTTTGTGTGCCTGTGAACTTTGTTCCTTATCTCTGTACTTAATGTTTAGTCATTGTCACGCAGTCACGCTACTTCTTTGCATTTTGGGGTTTTGCAGCTATGTCAGCTGGGAAAAAACCGAAGAAAACCCAGACTAGCAGATGTTATAAGGCATACAAATGTGAATGCATCCTTTTTATGTTTATTTTTTTTGGGAAGAGGTTAAAAGGGGAAGTTGCAGTTGGTTCAGCAGGTCTGAGGATCAAAATTAGTCTTCCATAAGGGCTATAAGTAGCTTTTGATTCCTCTCTTTCACCTGCAGTTCTGTATACCTGTCCCAGGTACCCCTCATCCTCAAGTTATGGCTCACCCAGCATTAGCAGTAAGTCAATCCTGCAGGCTGCTTGAAAAACCAATCTTACATTTTACTAGGTTAAAATTTTACTTTGGAAGGTTTGTGCCCACACACTTTTCTGTCCCCTGTGTGTCAGAACTCATAAAGGCTGGCCGACAAGAGAGAGTCCTCCCACTTGAGAAATTTCTTCATGTAAAGAGTTTCATTTATTTATTTGCGACAGCTCTTGAGTTTAGTAAGCAATAGTAAACTTGATCAAACAGCTTGTGTGAGTACCTTCTTCTCTTCCACCTCCTGATGCAAACCCCCTTCTTCTCCTATGGTCGGAGTAAAGAGGGCTGGGACAGCATGGGTAGTGGGTTGTGTGGGGAGAGTAATGCAGAAATTCATCCTGCTATAAAATTTCTTGGGTCCTTGAGGACTTACAAGCTCTGGCCTGGTGTTGACCAGACCTAGGCTGGCCTCTGCAGAGAGGAGGTGGAAGAGAGCTCTGTGCTCTGCAGTGTTCTAGGTTCTGGGAAGGTTTTGTAGCTCGGGAGTGGTGCCAATGCTGAGCTGGCTCCGTGCCTCAGTGTGGCACTACTCCAGACCTAATAAACCCTGCTGGACTTCAGTTGACTTAATACAGAATCAACTTTGTTGTTTCCGTATACATGGCATAATTAATCTGTAATCCAGATAAACAATCCCCGGGTAATCAAGAGCTAAGTATGTACTAGTAGTTTCATGAGGTGTGGTGATGTTTGCCAGCTAGTCACTGTGCAGTATAGTCCCCTCTTGTCAGGCTTTTGATGTTTTTTTTTGTTTTCCCTTTCCCCCTCCCCCTTTAGAGGAGTCAACATTTATTTAAATGTGCACTTTCAAGGTGAATGTCAGAAAGCTACCTTGAGCTGTTCAGTGGCTTCTGCTGCCATTGAAACCTGAGTTTTCCTGTACATCTCTTGCCTCTGAAGCACCTCTGGGCAGAGATGCTGTGGCAGTGTCCCTTTGGTGCATTTCTTTTCTGCAACATCCATGTAAGCGGTGGTTTTTCTTGTTTGCTTCTTTTCTTCACGACAGATGACATCTGGGGGGACTGAGAGCATTCTGATGGCCTGCAAGGCGTACCGAGACCTGGCTTATGAGAGAGGCATCAAACAGCCAGAAATGTGAGCAATACTTCCGCAGCTTGGTTTTCGCTTTGGGAGCTTGTGGGACTTACTGTTCCTCTGAGCGGAGGTGGCTGCTAGACCCCAATATTCCTTCATTTCATAGCTCATTACCACCTCCTCCTTGTCCATCTGTGTCTGAAGGAGAGAAACCTGGGTTGAAAGAAGCAGTGCAAAAGCACAGGAACCTTTAAGCAGCCTGTGGGGCATGATGTTGCTGGGGGGCTGTGGTAGCTATGCTGTGCAGATGTTTTTGGCAATACCTGTGTGCTTCTCTAGACAGAGCCTGCTCATATCTGCTTTGGGCCCCTCTCGAGCAGAGATTGTCAGGCCCTTTGAAGTGTTTAAGGGTTTTGATTTATTCAGATCAAAGAAGGTTTAGCCTGAAAACTCTGGGACTAAAGTTGGGGGGCTGATTGGAGCTGAAATGAGGAACTGTGCTAATTGTTATGCTGCTAATAGAGGATTTGCTCTCTCTAGTGTGCTTCTTTTTTTCTAGACTGCATCAAAAATATTTCTCTGGTTAATTGCTTACAAGGGGAAAATGTAAAGAGAGATGAAACACTGGTGTTCATCTTCTGCTGAATTTCTGCGGTTCTTTTCTTCTCTCTAACATTTTTGCATGCTATTAAAGGCCCTGATAAAGATATGATGCCTCAGAAAACAAGGTTAATTAAGGCTGTTCAGCCACTGCCATTCGAGATGGGAGACAGCAAATGTTATGTTCATTTTGTGTATTTATGCTGCTCCTTCCCTTTTGTATCATCTCATATGCCCCTCTCAGGGAGGGTGGTTGGCTGGAGACAGTACAATATCGTGTAATATGACAAGAAATTAGCTTTCTTGGGAATTCTGGTTCCTTGTTCACAGAAGACCATGCAGTGGAATAGAATTACTTCAATAGGTTTTCTCTGTATTGTTCAAGATCTAGTGTCCATCATTTTAATTCAGAACAGCACATGGCCTCTATTCTGTCCCAGAGAGTATTTTCCCCGACGTTTTTCTTTTTTCAGTCTGTATGATTTTTGGCTAGTTGAAACATACAATTGGCCTGTTTGTGACCTGTCTATCACAAATATCTGCAAGTTGAATTTTTTTTGCTCTTTCCCCTCCTGTTCATGGTAAGGCTTAGGTGCTGCCTGGGTTGACGTATGCAATCTGTTATTTTTCTAGGTTGGTCCCGGTGAGCGCTCACGCGGCGTTTGACAAGGCAGCACACTACTTTGGATTGAAGTTGATTCACATACCATTGACCAAGGCTATGGAAGTGGATGTTCAGGTATCACTTTAGGCAGCACAGCACTCTTTCTGTGGGAAATTAGCATTGTACAGCAAATAGCAAGAAATCTACCTATCCAGGTGGCAAATCAGTAGATAGAGAGGGATGAATGCTTCCTGGAAATAAGGAAAAATGGCAGAAGTAAGCGCCTGTCATTGCAGATAAGGTTTTGTTTGAAATAATTGGATGTAAGCAATCCCTTTTTCCTGTGTGATTCATTTAGAATCAAATAACTTACGTATTTCAGAAATAGCCCCATATTTCAGATGAGGGCAAACAGAAGCGTTCTAGTATTTCCAAGTGGATGACTTAAATTACTCAGTTGACATCTGCTGATGGTTGTAGCTCATTGCTTTCCTTTCTATAGGCTTTTGTGTGTTGGTTTTTAAGACCAGACACTGCATGTTTTCACTTTTTATCTTTTTTGGCAGGGTGGCACTTGGTAAATGGAATGTGAGTATCTTCTCTCTTTAAATCTTCAGGCAATGAGGAGAGCTATCTCGAAGAACACAGCCATGCTGGTCTGTTCCGCTCCCCAGTTCCCGCATGGAATTATGGACCCCATTGAAGAGGTGGCAGAGGTAGGGTGCCCCTGGTGGTGTAGCAATAAAACCAGCATGTCCTTCTGTACAAGAAGAGCAGAGGGTGCCAGGATGCCAACCAGTGAATCTGGTGGGAGGAGCAGACTGGTTGGGAGGGTATTAACCAACAGCAGGGTATGTACGACGCAATTTGGAAGTGAGGAGGAATATGGAACTATTTTCTTGCACTCTGTAACTGCTGTGGGAGGGTGGGCTTTAAATACCAGAAGTACCTCTGGGCATTGTCATAAAGCTGTTTGTGTGGGACTGGATTTCAGACTTGAGCTGGTGCATGCAGTGTGTCACAGCAAGGCAAAGTGGCAAGTCTTTTTTGCATGTACTTTGTCTCTGAACTGTCAAGTTTGTGCCATAAAGTTCTGCTGTAACTGAAGGTGTGTATTGTGTACGTGACTTTGAGCTCTGCTGCACCCACTGCGAGACCAACCAGAAGGGCATTCTTTGATATCTGAGAGGAAATAACAGCAAAATAGTCTACCTGGTAAAAAGGCTTTGATTTAGGGCCTACTGGTTGTAGCAAGCTTGGTGCAGAAGTTGGAGGAATGCTTGGAGGGAGTAGGAGTCAAAGGGCCTGAGATCTTACTTTTCAAACATGCCTCTTGATTTTACTCTCCGTGCTCCAGTTATTTATTTTGTATGTAACCAGCCAAGGCCTCTGACCTTCTTTTCATTTGGATCACGCCCTTACACTTTATTGTGGATACTCCTTTCAGACCAAGTTGTCACATCTCTTTGACAAATACAGCAAACTGCCAAAGTGTGGTGATGTTTTTCCTCTTGCTGGCAATCTTCAAATATGTGGAAGGCAGGAGAAGGCATCCCACAAGTAGCCAGCCCTTCCAGATCTCTTATCCTCAATGGCTTGAGAGTGGCATGATGCTCCAAAAGGGTCCAGAAAACATTTAATTGTGAAATGCAGAGTACCTTTTGGTGACTGGAGTTTGGATGCCCTGACCATATCATTTTCTTGCCTGATTGCATGTTACTCACCAGAATCTCTTGTTCACACAGCTTGCGGTGAAGTACAAAATCCCCTTCCACATTGATGCCTGCCTGGGTGGTTTTCTCATTGCTTTCATGGACAAGGCAGGGTTCCCTCTAAAGCGTCCATTTGACTTCCGTGTAAAAGGTGTGACCAGCATTTCTGCTGATACCCACAAGGTAAGAAGGAGGGGAGAAAGGTCTTCCAATGCTTTCATTTCTGTGAAGCAGTTCCTGGTGCCATCCCTGCCTTCAGGCATTTCTGCTCTGTGATGTGGAGGAGTGCTGAAGTGCAGGGGTAAGGGCTGCCCTATTCAGATGCTTTGTGCAATCACCGAAGTACGGGCAAGTGGGATCTTGGTGACTGCATGCAGTGAGTGCTTGAATGTGTTCCTGTGCCCTCCTGCTGCTTTTTAATGCTTTCTGTGCCCCTTGCAGTATGGCTACGCTCCCAAGGGCTCCTCAGTGGTGCTGTACAGCGACAAGAAGTACAGGAGCTACCAGTTCTTTATAGCAGCTGACTGGCAAGGGGGCATATACGCCTCCCCCTCCGTGGCAGGCTCCAGGCCTGGTGGAATCATAGCCGCGTGCTGGGCAACTCTGATGCACATAGGGGAATCAGGCTATGTTGAGGCTACGAAGAGGATCATTAAAACGGCTCGTTTCCTCGAATCAGAGTACGTGTGTGCCTTAGCGTTTTGATCACACTCTTTAACCCCGTTCTAGACACCTTCTCCCAAACTGCTTTTGTTTCTTTTGCGATGTTTTTTTTCCCCCTGGAGAAGCTGTAGCATGTTACCTGCTGGGTGGGGATCCATCAGGCAGTTATGGCAGAAGATGCTTTGTTTATACCCAGGTTGCTGCTCTGTGCCAGATAACCGAGAGGCACTGAGAGGAGGGGTGCAGGCATCTTTATTTAGCTCGCTTTGCTTCGAGAGTTTCTTCTGCCTCAGCCATGGTTGAGGGGGAATCTGGAAGGACTTACTGAAGATGATAAAAGAAGGGTTGTACTCTCTGTTGTTGGGGTGCTTGTGTTGCTATGTGAGTCGATAAGCTGATCTTCTCTGCTACTCTGTCTTCCTTTGCCTCTCTGTCCTCCCTCTTTTCCATTTCTTCCTAAGTGTACTTGACTTTAGGGCCTCTAATGACCTGAGTCCTCTTGCGAGTCCCAACGACTTGGGCTGCTTGTGTGATTTTTTTGGTAGGGATGTGCTGTCATCTGTTCCCTTCTGTAGCTTTTCCTTTAAGGCTCCAGATAGATGGACAGAATGTCTGGCCCCTGTAACCCTGGTCAGTCACTTCTTTTCTCCTTTTTCTTTTTAAGGTTGAGAAAAATTGACAGCATCTTCATTTTTGGGAAACCTGAGGTGTCTGTCCTCTCCATCGGTTCAGACACTTTCGACATTTATCGATTATCTAATTTCTTAGCTGCAAAAGGATGGAACTTAAATGTCCTACAGTTCCCATCAAGGTGAGTTTGTGGAGACCAGTGGAGTGATGTGCGTAGCCAGGGTATGCAAGATGGTCGTCTTCAGGCCATGTAGCTCTCTTGATTTGCTGAGTGGCGTTGTCCATATCTGATAAATTGTGTGTAGACTTTTCCTCTGCAGAGAAAGAATTACTTTTGCAATTCACTGCAGTGAGGATAAGGCAATAGTAATTTTAATGAGCCTGGCAGTGGACATATCTGAGGCTCCCTTTCTATTTACCTCTGTCTAGTACAAGCAGAAAAATAAATATAGCCAGGGCTTTATCTCATATTAGTTAACTGAGGGTTTGTAGCTTTATTTATTTATTTTTAGTATCTTTTTGCTGCCCAGTGAAGGTAATTGAAAGAACAGTGAAGGGCTGATCATTTTCAGTGATCTTTCCAGCCTCGTGTAAAATGAATGTTTGCCAGAGAGTTTTCTTGAGTGGGTAGTTATTGTTTTTCTGTGGATAAAAGGGGCAAATGCTCTCAGATGTAGCTGCACTGAAAAAGCAGCTGCACTGCTACTTGCGAGTAGCCCTGTTCCTTCTGGTGGACGCTAACTTCCATGCTGTGGGTGGCTGATGGCTTATCTAAGCTGGAGAGGAAGGGGAGGGAAATGATGGCAAGGATCACCATGCTTGCAGGCAGCTGCATTTTTCTCACCAGAGGTACCTGGAACGAGGTGAGAAAATTATAGGCCTTTAACCATGTACGGTGAAGTCGGGAAGGAAGGAGGAGTTGCCATTTTGCAGAAGAGCTGAACTCTCTGCAGCTTGGTTCTAGCAAGTATTTTGCAGGGGTTACCTTTAATTGGAAGGGAGTCTTCTCCCATTATACTGCTGAAATGCAATTTTAAGGAGATACATGGTTGTCACTGGCCAGGGAAGGACTAAATTGCTCTCGGTTGCTCAGAAAATGTGGAGCTGTACATACTTGAAATGGTTAATCTCTCCCCTCTCCCCTGCCTGTCCAGCATTCATCTCTGCATTACGCAGTTGCACACGAAGCCTGGTGTTGCTGAACAGTTCCTGAAAGATGTCAAAGACAGCATTGAGGAGATCATGAAGGACCTCAACGCCAAGACCACAGGCATGGTAAGGAGCCCAGCATATAGTGAGGGTGTGTCTGGGGTGAGCCTGTTTCTCTGATGGCATTAACAATCCTATGTAATGACCTCCTCTTCTCTGCTTAGGGAGCCATCTATGGAATGGCCCAGTCTGTCCCAGACAGGAGCTTGGTAGCGGAGATTTCTCAGGCGTACTTGGACAGCCTCTACAGCACGGATGTTCCTTGCAGTGAAAAGCACATGAACGGCTCTCCTGGCCACCACTGACTGGAGTGCAACAATCGGTGCCTTGCCAACTAGCACTGGGGTGGTTCTAAAGGTTTCCTAGGGGAAGGGATTGCAGTAAGCCTTTGTTTCTACAATTGCAGGTCTGATGGCGGCTTGATCTTGAAAACTTCCTTCCCATCTTAGTCTGTTCTGAAATCTGCATTATTTTCATGCCCAACTTTAGTTTTAGGGCTTTCCTTCCCTTCCCTCTGCCTATTTTCATCATGACTATTGATGGTGAATTGAATGTCCATTCCACAACTCCAAATTCCTCAGGTATTCTGTGTGTCACTTCATTCCTTGCTGTTTCTTCTCCTCAGACCTGGTATTCAGCCGGTGTCCAGCCAAGTGTTAGATTTGAGTTCTTATGTTGTGTTCCAAAGCTTCAATCTTCTCAGAAGTTGAAGGTAGAAAATAAATTGAATATTTTGTTTTCTTTTGAGTATTCCTCCAAGCTACTGCATTTAACAGACTGTGCTGGGAGCCTTTTATCTATGTAATGCAGAGCCGATAAATTGGCAAAGGAAAGATAGTCATGTACTCTTTTTGAAATCCCCTCTGGAGATCTCAGTGAGACTGCAATCAATATCTGCTGAGGGGAAAAAAAACCAACACAAAATCCCTTTCTGGAATCTCTTGGTTTGAATAACAGCAGAAATAGAAACCAAGCAGGTGGTGTAGGGAGAGGAACTGGATGGTACTGAAAATCCTAGGTACATAGTAACTGTTTTGCTTCCCTGCCTCTTCTAGAAGACATGCATTTACCACCTAGAGTGCTTGTTGTACCTTGCACAATTCTGGAGGGATGTGCAAAACAGTGATTTCACTGTTCATAACTTGAAGGTTTTGCACTATCTCACAATGCTGTAGTAGAGTCAGTCAGGCCCTGGCGTGTGTCATGGCTAGGGACTTCATGTGCAAATAGATGGCACCAAAGCTGACCTTTTTTTACCATGATCTTTTAGTATAAAAAGGTGACTTTTGTAATAGTAGTAATCTCTGCTCTTTGCACTGATTCTTTTAAGGCACATTCTCAAAAGGGCATTCACCATTGTGCCTTGATGCTTCTCTGGCTTTTTTTTGTGGGATGCCAGGGAGGGTTTGAGGGTTCAGCTGTTGACTTTTGCAGCATTTGCTGCGGTCGTTTCCTTATGGTACTATACTGAAAAAAAAACTCAAAGGCAGACTGGCCTCAGAGAAAGTACACTTGCCTATAAGGTAGAATAGTAGTTGTACTGAGCCAAGTCCCTTCACAGTATTACAAAGATGCTGGTATAGCTCCGAGACGTAGATGATAGGATGTAGCAAGTTGGAGGTATTCAAGCCTTGGGCATATGGCTCACCACCCTTCCTATTTTTCTCCGCTGTTTTTATGGTGAGAGAGTTTTCCCAGTGCAACTGGTGAGGCAGTTGTGGTGCTAAGGACAAGCTAGAATCTCTTGAGTTATTAAACAGCAGTGGAGTCACTCCTGCAGGGCTTTCCCATCTGTTTCCTCTCAGCTTTGTGCATGCTACCGAGAGTTTCCCAAGCAGAGTTCAACACTTGGGAGAAGACTTCGTGCCACATCTGCAGAGTCTTGTGCAGGGCTTCTGAAGGCATCTGTCTCTCTGCTGTAGTGGGCATGTTAGCCCGAAGCTGACCCTCACTGGCTTAACACCGCTGAAGCACACACTTGCACAACAATTATACCATGAGAAGGTTTCTTACCAGCCACTGCCCAAACCAGTGCAGCAGCCTTGGGCCCAGTGATTGTGGGAAGAATACTTGCTTTTTAACAGGTTTATTCTCAGTGCTAGGAGACAAAAGTATTTTGGCCGTCTGCCCTTAAATTGATGACTTTATGCATGTCTCTGTGCCCTTTTGAAAACATCGCATTTGAATTGCCTGACAGTCTCTTGATGGTGTTACCAGCTCTGGCAGTCAGCATTTATGTTGGACCTATTTATTCTGTTAATGTCTTGCCAATGTGACCATTACTGCATCTCTGAGTTTGCTGTACTTTGGAGACAGTCTTAAGTGTCTGGCTACTGTGATGGTTCTCTTTTGAACCGAGATTTAAAAAACAAAACAAAACAAAAAAGGGAGCTACTCTTTTTGTTTCTGCTTTAAAAGAAAGAGGGAATGGATTGGGGTGGGGTTAAGGAGAGAAAAACTCCCTCCTCTTCCCTGGTTGCATTCTCCTCTGAAGAAGTAGATGGATCTAAAGGATCAGTGTTCCATTTCACATTTTTGGATGTATTTGAAGATGTTATTTGTAAGTCAATGTATTCCATTCTGGTCTTCACTTACTAGTAATATTTGTGGGTTTAATTATTTTATGTGTATTTGTTCTATACTGTAAATGTAATCTTCTGGTCAGGAATAGGCCACTGTAATTTACGGGTGTGTAGTCTTTATTCATCCTTGTCATATAACATGTAATCTGCATCTCCTTTATCATGCCAAATGGTCTTAGAAAAATGGTGCGATTAACAGGCTGTATAATTGTTTACAAGACAAAAAAGAAGAATTTTGTGGACTGGATTATGATCTGAAACTGGATGGTACTTTAGACCTGGAGGGATCTTTGCAACTATTAATTCCTGCGAGATTTCTGACTGTCAGGTTTTCCAAGTGAGACACTAAATTTGTTGCTTATACAAAGCACTCCCAAAGGATTTGCGTGCTCTTAGGTACTAGACTGAAGACTATCCAATGGGATGGACCAAGAAGAGGTGTGTGTGTCTTCATGCCATGGATTTCATCTGCACTTTTCTGATGATTTGGGGGAGGGGGGAGTGGAAGGGTTGCGTACAACACAATAATATCTCGCCCAATAAATACGCATTGACTTTTTAATGAACAAATGGGATGAGTTCATCTGATGGCAGTATTCTGTATTGCTCTAATTTGCCACTGTAAAACTGTAGGCTGAAATAGCTGAAAAGATGGTGAAAATGGGCCTAGTTTGTATTAAAATGGTGCATTTAGGTATCTAGGCTCATTGAACTCTTTATTTTTTTGTTTCAATGCTCATTTGAATGAATGGGGACCTATTGCTCCTGGTCTTTGCTCATGCACAGCCTAGTCTGTGGCAGGGAGAATGGTTTATGAATCTTACTAACTCTGCCCGAGGGCTGCTCTTTCATTCTGTCAAGATAAAGGTGGTGTCTGTGGCTACGTCTTGCATGTGGTGTTCAAGGATGCTGAAAATTGTCATTTAAGAGCTATGGATTTTCTCTTAATACTTTATAGAACTTTAAAGGGTTAAAAAAAAAAAGACCTGAATTGGGTGTTTGTAGTGTTTCTCCCAGACTGTTTTGCTGAAAGCAACTACTGTTGGTTTCACAGCAAATTGTTCCTGTTACACCGAAAATGCAGCAATTTGGCTGCAGACTCACTGAATGCAGAGATCATTGTGTTGCTGGACTGAAGATCTTACACCACCAAATTCACCTACAACCTCTTTCGGGAGGTATTCCCCTGTAAGCAGCCCCTGGCCCATTGCTGCCCTGCTTTCGTGCCTTTTGGTTGTGCCTTCCCTGTGTTTGTGCCTTGGCTATGGTACACTTCTGATTTTAGCACAAGCAGTTTTTATCTGATCTGTTTTGGCTTTGATAATCTCATTCTCTTTTAGACCCCGTTCACTTTGAGGTGCAGGCCTGCAAAGGCACGTGCCATTTCTCCACATTGCTTCATCAAGAAGCTTTTCCATGGCAGAAGCACCTTCTTGAGAGCAGTCAGGCCAGTATCTGCCTTGGGAAAACCTGTTGATGTAATTTTGACAGCGAGGCCTCCTTCCAAACTGATACCAAGTTAACCAAGACCTTTATTGTGAACATTTTCAGTTGGTATCCTACTAAAGGCCGGTTACAGTCGGGGTGAGATCACATACCTGCTTATAATACTGCTAGAGAGAGGTTACAATAATAACCAAGTTGCATGTCACAGTTGCTGGTATGTTCTAGAGAAACCAAGCGGTTCACGTACCACGTTTTAGGTAGAAAGCATATTCTGGTAGGTAAAGAAGCAATAGCAGAGTGGCTGGATGGGGTCAGGCTCTGGCAAGATTTACTGGTGCAATTGTGTAACATGACTCCTGGTAAAAGGGCGCGTCTGCTGAAAGCCCCAGGGGCTCAGCAGTTTGTGGGCTGGTAGCACACAGCTAACAAAAGGTTTAAGAATGGAAGTGGCAAGGTCAGAGATGGATATATGCACGGTGCCCAAGAAGTGCCTCCATCCATCTGAGCTGTGGTGGGGAGTTTGGCATGGCGTTAGGCAGTCTGGATCCAGGAACTAGCTTGGATGTGGGAGAAGGCCGCATGTGCAGCCGTCCAGGTGAGACACGGGTTGTGGCAGCGGCAGAGTTGATTTTTGGCTTCATGTGTCTCTCTCTAGTCAGGAGAGAGAAGCTGCAACCTGCTCGATGAAGCTGGCCAAGTTGATGTCTCGCTCTGATAAGCCTCCACACTCATGGGTGCTCAAGGTGATGTGAACCTAAACCAGACAGACAGACAGACCGACCAAGTGTTGCTGGCAGACAGAGCAGGAACGGTTTCCTCCAGTGCTGCAGACAGTTCGCATCTGATGAGGCAGGTAGTGCTATTACTTTCTCCAGACTTGTTAGCAAAATTTCCTGGGGTGGGAGAGGTGGTCTGGCATTTTGCCTGATTTTCTCCTTCCTACAGCTTGTCCTGGCCACAAGAAGTCACTGCCACCCCTGCCTTGGTTACAGCAGTTGGCTATGCCCACCTTTCAACTCATTCTTTCTCCAGAAGCTTTTTCCCTTGCTGCTACTTCTGGTACTGCTTTAAAAAAACAACCCCGATTTTAAAAAAGAGCTCGGTAGGCTCTGCCCACCTTCAGGCAGCTACTGCTCAGCTGGGCAGGAGGGACACCCCCCCACCCCACCCCCCCCCAACCAAAAACCAAAAAAAAGAGAGGGGAGGAAAGGATCTGTAGGTGATAGCTGTAGGCTGTCTGTGATATGCCAAGGGAATAGCATCCGAGGAAAGAGGTCCCACTGATCTGAACAGGATTTGCTGCTGCTGTTTTATGCCTCACAAAAGGGGATCTGTTCCCTGAAGAGCTCCGGTTGCTCCCACCATCCCTCCTTCTTACCTTATTGTACACATTGAACCATTCAGGGTGGTGATCCAGCTTTTCTGCCTGTAGAGCCACTCTGGTCATGAAGCCAAAGGCCTGCCCGGTGGAGTAAGAAGAAAAGTTAGCTCTGAACCACTTACCCTGCGATATATTCTTTTTCACCTCATTGCTATTAATTTTACACCACATGTTTCTAGGTAACCCAACCAAATGCAAGGCCTGGGATGTTCTGTATCTTTGTTAGGGTTTTCTATGGGTTTTGCTGTTTTTGGGGAGCTTTTCCCAGACAAACCATCTGCTGGGTTGAGCACTTTGGTGTCTTGGGCAGGTTATCTTGCTCAGCCATTACATTTCAGGAGAAACACGGAGGGGTTTCTTTGGCTGAGCCTTGCAGATGGGACTCCCTACTCTGCAAACCAGGTCTCCCACATTGTAAAACTCTGTACCACCGATGCTTATACCCGGTTGAAGTCCTTGAAGTGGAACTCTTTGAAGATGGCGTCTCTGCCTTCCACCTCGTTCCACCCCACGGCTCTCAGGTTTGGCAGCAGCTGCTCCCTCTCCTCCGCGCTCAGTCTGTGGGCTTTTCCTGCCTGACACCACAGAAAGGAAAGGGAAGAGGAGCAGATCAGCATGGCAGAGGTAGGATCAAGCAGATGCTCAAAGCAGTGAGGCATCCCATGGGTCATGGAATTAGGGGTCCGTGGAGGCAGCTGCAGACTGGGTGGGAGGGTTAGAGTGTGTGTGCGGACCTGAATTGGGGTGCACTGATGATAGGCGATATCAGTGCTGTCCTCTGCTCCCTGCTCTGGGTACATCCTACATGTACTGAGGTCCAGTGAAGTCCAGCTTGTCACTTTTGTCCTCTGACCTGCAACACCTACCTCTTTACCGGTGTATATATGTATTCATTATAACCTGAGGTACTAAGAAATGATGGCTGTGTGAGGTTAAGCTCCCAAATACATTACATACAATTTTCTGGAAAAAAAACCTGAAACTCTGTGATGGCTTCTAGAACTGGGAATTGCTTGCTTTTGAGGTTCGTGAAGTACCTTCCCGAAGCGGGAGGGCTTTATTTGCAGGTCATTTGCACTGGAAGCCTGCTTTAGAGGAGAAAGAAGTGGTGTGAATCAGAGAGATGAGTCACACTAAATTGGAGATCGGCTCCTTTTCCTTTTCAATCTCTGTTATGTTAAGATGGAGTTTAAGAGGCTGTTTCTGTCTTGAGTAACGAAGGGTAGAGGGGGGGATTGTGATTTAGCGTTGTCTTCCCCTCTTGGGCAGAGCTGCTATCTGTTTTTTAAGGAGGGGGGAAGCAGCAGTTCTTCGCTTTGGGGAGTGAATATGGGCAAAGATGAAACTAAAATGGAGTTCTTGGGGATAGGGGCTAGCTGAGCCAGCGTATCTTCTGGCTCAGTGGGGAAGGCAGGAGTGAGTGTGGAGGGGTAGTTGCTCTATCTGAAAGATGATGTTCTGGTGATTAAAATTCTTTCCTAGTGGGTGTTCTGATCTTTCACGTTGGTGAGGATTGTTGTTTCTCAATGACAAAGACGAACATCTCTTTGCAATTTGTTTTCCTTTATATGCTGTAGAGCAAAGTGTGGCAAGTTAGATATGAGTCCCAGCAAATACAGCTCACTGTTTCTTGTGGGTGTTTGCTCAGCTGTTTAAGATGCTACTTCTGAGCATCAGTGCCCAAGTGAAGCGTCTCAAGGGGCTGCTGACCAAAGAAGGCAAATCATCCTTTCCTGTAGTTCACCTCCTCACAGGCTGTACAAAACCAGAGAGGCAGCCATGGAGCTGATGTTTTTGCGGGTTCTTCTTTTGTTTTGTGTGTTTTGAGGAAGGATTGGAAAGATTATGCCCTATTCCCATGTTGCTGGGTCTGCTAAGCCATTGGGCCGTGTGGATGCCTACCTGTCTGCGTAGTAGTGACCCTTATGCTTAGAGAAAGCTGTCAGCTGCAGAGCACTTCACGAAATGGAGAGTGCCAAGGTGCACGCTGAACTAGCGTGGGATGGTTCCTGTCCCCTTGGCATCACAGCTGCACGCTCTCCCTCTTGCATGATGTTTGGGGAAAGCCTTCCTCGCCCATGCATGCTCTGGCCTCGCTGCTAGTGTACAAACTACCTGTGCCACCCTTCAGTTTGTGCGGTGGATGGCCCCCTGCCAGCCCCGGCTCCACCACCCGCCACGCTAATGTCAACCCCATCCCTTCCCGAGCTCTGGGTTTGGAGGGAAGGTAGTGAGTAAACACAGCTCAGCGCAATAAACCCTCAGCCGTTGCCCTTCTGTGCTGATGGCGTGATAAGCCGTTGCGGGTAGCTTAGCAACTGGATAACGTGGGGACGGAGGCTGGCTCTGCATGGGGCCACTGGCAGGGGGGCACCTGTGGGGGCTGCCCTGGGGGACTCTGATGGGAGTGGGGTAGGGGCTGCACCAGGTTTCGGGACCAGGGGCTGAAAGCTCCTGCTTGGGTATCAGTGCTAAAGAGAGGAAAGGCTGCGTAAAGCCGGAGCTGTTGCTTGCCTGGAGCAGAGAGGTATGGACACAGGGGGCTGGGTGCTGAGCCAGGCTCCTCCAGGCAGAGCAAGAAACCAGGCTGCTTGGAAGGGATGTGGCTTATTTGTTCTCTGAACCCTTTTCTGCGTCGCGACTACATGGGAGGATGGGCCCCGGGGCTTTTTCCAGGCCCAGCTCCTCTCTGAGAGCCCAGTGCCAACGGGAAGCATGGCCAGGCTGAGGTTTGGCCAACAGACCACATGAAAGCCAGCTCCTCCGGCTGTGTTTTGTGATGGCAGACCCTCTTCCTGGAGCACCCTTCATGCTCTCCACCCCGCTCCCTTCCTTCCTTCTCCACCCCAGCACATTGGCCAGCCTGC